GGGAGCTCTGATGCAGAGGCGATCCTGTGCTGTGACCCCTGCCGCCCTGGTTTTCTTTGGAGTCGATAGCCAGTCAATCACGGGGCCCGGTATCGAACCGGATGTGGGCCGCCCATGGTACATACCATGTACGCAAAACCTCGCCAGTCGGAAGACTGAGTGTCCTGGCGAATGAGTGTCCAACGAGAGGCCTCGCACCCATCATCATTCACTGTTCGGTCTGTTTTTTTTTTTTTTTTTTTTTTTTTTTTTCGATGCAATGCTGACTCTCTGCATATGTGAGATGTGACATACATATGAGATCCTGCCCCTCGTGCATCGAGACGTCAATCCCAGGTTTTCGGACTCAAGAGTTTCTCTCGCAAGCTCTCCCCTTTTGATTACGGCCATCCTTCCTCATCTAGGCTCTCTGCCCCGATGTAGGGAGACTGACGTCCAAGCTGGCACTCCAACAGATCGCGCGCTGCGGGATCTACACAGATACCCGTCGATCATGTTTGAACCTTCTGTCGCTTTTCATGTCCAAATCTTCAAGTCGCCGACCATATCGGGCACTCCCTGTCAGGTAGGCGAGGGGGGGGGAGGGGGGCTACCCACCTGGCGTCGAAACGATGAGGCCTTATTAGCGACGATGAGAGAGGGGCAGACGCTTGGCCAGACTTGCCCTAGTGTGGGTAAGTGGGAGGAAAGCAAGAAAGGTCCATGTTCAGTCGGTGTGCTTCACTTCACAGATTGCACGCCGCAGTGTCACCTCGCATATCTCGCAGGATCTTATCGGCCGTGGACTACCGTGACGGAGAAACCGATCTGTCATGGATTCTCGTGCTGCACTGTCGCGATGGGTCGACCATGTGGGCCTTACTGACTCTGGCATCACAGCCGAACAACCGCGACGACGACGACGACGACGACGGCGACGGCGACGACGACAGCCAGGGTCAATCGCCAATTGCACACCGCACCCTAACCCCCCACGTCGAGCTCCACTAACAAGTGTCCTTGTGAGCGCTGCGCTCGCCGTGGCTTTCGTCTCGTTTTTGTTCTGCGATCATGCCGAGCGACCACAAAATGTGACAGCAGAGTTTCCTCGTCAACACTGATACCGGGATATCTTCGTCGCGTCAAAGCTCACACCCCCTCCCCTCCCATCCCCTCCCCTCCCTCACCCCTGGTCCCAAGATACTTTCGGCACGTCCATTTTGATGATGTGATCGCGAGAGTGCAACGTGCGATCATGGTGTTTCGCGTTTGATCCTTGCGAGATAGGGTATGGGGCAGGCATGAGAAGATCATTCTGGGGGCTCGGACGTACCCTCATCAGCCCCCCCCCAATCGCCTTTCAACCTTCGCGGGGGGGTGCTCATCTCTGGGATCTACTCGCGAAAGATAGGCAGCACAGGGCAAGATGGGCATGAAGAAGGCCCACGCCACCCCCTGCCAAAGAGTACCGCTCCAAGATCTGACCTGTCCCCGTAACCCCCAGTTCGTGTCGGGGGATCAGAACATGGTATCTTTGCCTTTGACTTGTGAGGGGCCGGATGGCCCAGTCATCTGCGCGCGCTCTCCCTCGGGCGACAGTCTTGATGCGGAGACCAGGTATCGCAGACGGCAGGCGGGCGCAAGGCTGGCTTCAGGTTTCTGTAGAACCTGCCATATCCCTGAACGAGGGCCGTCGTAGGCCTCTTCTCGGGGTCGGCGCAGGGCAGTGATGTGCGCAAGTGGCGTGAGGTCTCTCATTGAGGCGAGGGTGGAGGTGGAGGGGGGAAGGCGCAAAGTGAGAGGCGAGAGGCGAGTTGCGAAAAGGGGGCGAAACGGAGGGGGGAGGCGGGGGTTAGACTGGCTGAATCTAGGTCTGGGGACGTAAGGGAGAAACCACATTATGCAGACTACGTGGCTCGGGTGCCGGTTCGGCTGTAGGTACTCGAGGCTCCGCCAAGACGGCCATGATGTCTTGCTCTCGCCGAGCTAGAGGGGTTCATGGGGGTGAACTGGAAGAATAATTCCAGGTCACGCCTGAATTGTCGTCCACGGGTTGCGGGGATTTCTTGATGCGAGCACACCGCTGCGGCGCAAGCAAAGGGATCTGGGGACTTTGAGATGTTTTGCTCTGACGGAGAGGCAGGGAGGGTTGCGGATCCTGTCTGCCTCTCTGGAGCCTCGCTCTGCGGCAGCGGCAGCAGCAGCAGCAAGGTCATGCTTGCTCGCCGTGCGTGTAAGAGTTTGAGTCTGCATCGAGGGCCCTCTGCGAAAGCTCAACGGGATTGGATGCTGCGCTGGCAAGACTGTCTAACATTGCGATGCAAGTGAGCTGAGAGCTGCTGCTTGAAGCCTGTCTAGCTGACAGCGGGGAGGGAATAAAGTCAAAATAACAAGAGGTAGATGCCATGGCCACCTCATGGTGATGGAGCCGAGGCAGCGTGGGTTTCTTAGACTATGTTACAGATGACAAGCACACATGTCGACTTGGCCACGCACGAGGGAAGACAAGTGTGTTGCGGCCTCGGGAACGGCACGGCCAGGGACGGCTCGCTCTCTCTCCGCCCTCGCTTCGCTTCCCGCTCACTTTGTTCTCCTTTCTTTCCTTTCCAGCCGATTCATGTTTGCTTGTCTGAACGTTTTGCCGGCGAGCCAAGCGTGGCCCTAGGGGCAGCGCACGAAGAAGTTTGACAGCGGCGACGGCGGGGCTCTTCTGCGCCGGCCGTCCGTCCGTCCCGCGTTGTTGCTGCAGCGGGAGACGACGGTACTAGGGGGCCACGGGGTCGTGTTTTGTTTTCTTTGGCCGTTTTCTGTCAGGGACCGTGGCCATCCCCGCGTTCCTGCGTTGAAAAGGGACCTGGTTTGGTTTCTTTCTGCTAGTGAGGTACTGTACTCTGTAGACGTTCCTGAAGATCGTGCGTGGTGCGAGGTCCCCCCCCTCTCTCTCTGCAGCGCTAGGTCCCGCCGGGTCGAGTCGTGAATGACTTACTCGACATGAGCGCACGGTAGCTGAACAACCACGTCAATTTGCGTCAATGGCTGTAGACCCTGG